GAAGTCGGACGCTTAACCGACTGCGCCACACAGGCGCCCCGGAAATTCGCTTCTTTAGATGCATACCTAGTTTCAATAAAAGGGATCTGTGGACTCTTCACAGTAAATTGGAGTCAGGATGCTCTAATATTAGATTCCCATAGGAACCAGAGGACTTGATGATGATGATAATGATGAAGATGATGTTGGCTACACTAATAACGAACTATCCGAAAGAGAAGTTAAGAAAACAATCCTATTTACAATCATACTCAAAAAGAATAAAATACCCTAGGATAAATTTAACCAAGAAGGTGAAATACCTATACACCAAAAACTAAGACGTTGATGAAAGACATCGACAAAGACTCAAATAAATGGAAAGATATATTGCATGTTCATGGATTGCAAGAATTAATATTGTTAAAATGTCTATACCCCCCAAGGAGATCTACCAATTTAATGCCATCCCTATCAAAATGCCAATAGCATTTTTTGCAAAAATAGAACAGATAATTCCAAAATGTGTATCGAACCACAAAAGGCCCCAAATAGCCAAAACGATGTTTCTTAAAAAGTTTTTATTTATTTATTTTGAGAGAGACAAAGACAGTGCAAGTTCAGGGAGGGGCAGAGACAAAGAGAATCCCAAGTGGACTCTGCACTGCCAGCACAGGCAGAGCCTGATGCGAGGCTCAAACCCACGAAACCATGAGATCGTGACCTAAGGCGAAACCAAGAGTCGGATGCTTAACTGACTGAGCCATCCAGGCTCCTCAGCAATCTTTTCTTTTTTTTTAAGTTTATTTATTTATTTTGAGAGAGAGAGAGTGAGGAAGGGGCACAGAGGGAGAAGGAGAGAATCTCAAGCAGGTTCCACGCTGTCAGCACTGAGCCCAGTTCAGGGCTTGAACCCACAAACTGTGAAATAATGACCTGAGCTGAGATCAAAAGTCAGATGCTTGACTGACTAAGCCACCCAGGAGGCCCAAAACAATCTTGAGAAAAAGAACAAAGCTAGAGTGTTTTCACTCCTGATTTCAAACTATATAACAAAGCTAGAGTAATCAAAACTGTATGGTATTGGCATAAAAACAGACACATAAATCAGTGGAATAGAATAGAGAGCCCAGAAATAAACCCATGAAAATACAGTCAGTTTATTTATGACAAAGGAGCCAAGAATATATAATGGGGAAAGGACAACCTCTTCAATAAATGGTGTTGGGAAGACTGGACAGCCACATCAAAAGAATGAAACACACAAAAATTAACTTAAAACGGATTAAAGACTTGAATGTATGACCTGAAACCATAAAACTCCTGGGCACCTGGGTGCCTCAGTCAGTTGAGTGTTTGACCCTTGATTTTGGCTCAGATCATGATCTCACAGTTGTGGGATTGAGCCCCGAGTCCCGTTCTGCACTGAGCATGAAGCCTACCTGAGATTCTCTCTCTCTCTCTCTCTCTCTCTGCCCCTCCCCACTTACTCTCTAAATGAATGAATGAATGAATGAATGAATGAATAAATAGATGATAGAGGCTCTGAATAGACATTTTCCTAAAGAAGAACGACGAATGACAAACGGGTACATGAAAAGATGTTCAACATTACTAATTAGCAGGGAAATGTAAATCCATACCACGATGAGATATCACCTCACACCTGTTAGAATGGCTATTATCAAGAGAAGAAGACAAGAAATGCAGAGAAAAGGGACCCCCTGTGCACTGTTGGTGGAATGTAGGTTGGTGCAGCCACCATGGAAAACAGTATGGAAGTTTCGCAAAAATTAGGAAAAGAAATACTATACAATCCAGCACTTCCACTTCTGGGTATTTATCCAAAGAAAACGAAAACACTAACTTGAAAAGATATCTGCATGCCCATATTCATTGTGGCGTTATTCACAATAGCCAACATATGGAAAAAAAAACCCTGAGTGTTCATAGACGGATGAATGGATAAAAAAAAAAGCATGTGTGTAAAAATGGAATATTATTCACCCATAAAAGAGAAGGAAATCTTGGCGTTTGAGGCAACATAGATAGACTTGACAGTATTATGCTAAGGGAAATAAGACAGAAAAAGGCAAATACCGTATGATCCCTCTTGATGAGGAGTCATAAAAAAAAAA